TTGCACCGCCCCCTTCCTTCCATATCCTCCGCCCTCCTCCTCCACACCGATCCCCGGCTCCTATCCCTCCTCCTCCTCCTCCTCATCATCATCCTGCTCCATATCCCTTCTTCTTATTATCATTATTAATATTATTATGATTACTACTATTATTATTATTAATATTATTATTAGCATTATCATTATTATTATTACTAATATTATTATTAATATTATTATTCGTATTATTATTATTATTATCAATATTATTATTAGTATTATTATTATTATTAATATTATTATTATTATTATTATTATTATTATTATTATTATTATTATTATTATTATTATTATTATTATCTCCTCCTCCTCCTGCTCCCCCTCCTCCTCCTCCTCCTCCTCCTCCTCCTCCTCCTCCTCCTCCTCCTCCTCCTCCTCCTCCTCCCTCCTCCTCCCCGCCCCGACCCGCAGTTCCTGGGCTGCGAGCCCCGCTTCCGGGTCCAGAGCTGGGAGCAGCCCGCGGGCCCCGCCCCGCGCGGCGCCGCGGGCTGCAGCGCAGGCGGGCGCGCCGCCGCTCCGCCCCCAAGGGGGGCCTCCCCAGGAGAGGAGGAGGAGGAGGAGGAGGAGGAGGAGGAGGAGGAGGAGGAGGAGAGAGGAGGAGGAGGAGGAGGAGGAGAGGGGCAGGAGGAGGGGGAGGAAGGAGGAGGAGGAGGAGGAGAGGGAGGAGGAGGAGGAGAGTGAGAGGAGGAGGAGGAGCGAGGAGGGGGAGGAGGAGGAGGAGGGAGGAGGGGGGGGAGGGGGAGGGGGAAGGGGGAGGAGGAGGAGGAGGAGGAGGAGGAGAGAGCGAGGAGGAAGGAGGAGGAGGAGGAGGAGGAGAGGAGGAGGGGAGGGAGGAGGAGGCGAGGAGGAGGAGGAGGAGGAGGAGGAGGAGGAGGGGAGGGGAGGAGGAGAGGAGGAGGAGGAGGAGGGAGGCGGAGGAGGAGGAGGAGGAGGAGGAGCGGAGGAGGGGAGGAGGAGGAGGAGAGGAGGGAGGTAAGGAAGGAGGAGGGGGCGGAGGTTCGGTTCCCCGCGCTCCGCTCCCAGCACCTGGTCACGGAATGTCCTGCAGGGGGAACAAAGGCGTTGGCCAGTTTTGGAGCATTTCAAGAAGGGGGGGGGGGCCTCTTCCAGGCAACGGTTTGGGAGGAGTTGGCCAGCCCCGCCCAGGCCGTCCTAGCCGGGTCTCTTGTTCCTGACCTGGCGGGCTGCTTTCTGTATCCACGCCGTGTCGCCCATTTTCCCCTTTCCAGCGCGTCGTGCGGCCCTCGAGAGCTGGACTGCTGCAGAGGATCACGAGATCACAGGAGGTGGAGGAGGAGCGGAAGAGGAGGAGGCGGAGGAGGAGGAGGAGCAGGCGGCGGAGGAGGAGGAGGAGGAGGAAGAAGAAGAGGAGGAGCCGCTAGAGGAGGAGGAGGAGGAGGCGAAGGAGGAGGAGGAAGAGGAGGAGGAGGAGGAAGAGGAGGAGGAGGAGGGGGACCCCCACTGCCCGTCACCCGCCTCGCGCTCTCCCTTACAGTCCCAGCTCCCCTTTGGCGGCCCCTCCCCCTCCTCCGCCTTCTCCTCCTCCTTCTCCTCCTCCTTCTTCTCCTCCTCCCTCTCCATGTGATCGGCACCATCGACATCGTCCTCGCCGTTGTCGTCACCATCGTCATCGTCACCATCATCAGCAGCAGCATCATCAGCCTCATCAGCCTCATCATCATCATCATCATCATCATCATCATCATCATCATCGTCATCATCAGTATCAGTATCAGCAATATCATCATCTGCATCATCATCGTCATGGTCATCATGCTCATCATGCTCATCACCATCATTCCCATCATCACAGTAAACACCATCAACAGCATCAACAGCATCATCATCACCACTATGACACATACGATCAGCATCATCATCATCAGCAGCATCGCCATCATCATCATCAGACTTATATTCATCTATATTGTCGTTATCATCACCACCAACATCATCATCAGCAACTGTATAATCATCACCGTCACCATCATCAGCATCATCAGCACCATCATCAGCACCATCACCATCATCATCACCATCATCATCACCATCATCATCGTCAGCATCATCAACATCAATAGCATCAGCATCATTATCATCACCACCATCATCACCACCATCGTCATCAACATCAGCACCCTCATAATCATCACATACCTCGTCTTCATAATCATCCACCTGACCATAATCAGTATCAATAACATCCTTACCATCACCATCATCATCATCATCATCATCATCATCATCATCATCATCACCATCACCATCAGCAGCAGCAGCAACAGCATGATCACCAGCACCAGCATCCTCATCATCAGCATGATCAGAATCAGGCTCAGCATCGCCATCGTCATCAATAGTACCATCAGCAGCATCAGCATCATCATTCTCAGCAGCAGCAGCAGCATCATCCTCGCCGTCGTTGTCATCATCGGGATGATGGGTCGAGTACACGACTCAACATAGCATCCCCCCTCTTTCTCCTCCTCATCGTCATCCTCCTCATCCTTCCTCCTCCTCCTCCTGCTCCCCCCTCCTCCCCCTTCGCCTTTTTGGCTCAAGCCATTTTGACTCAAGCGCCTCGGGCGGCATGGCCCGGGCGCCGGGGAGCCGCATCTCGCCGCCCTCGCAGTGGCGGTCTAACCAGGAGCCTTAGATGATCAGCAGCAATGTCAGCGGTGAGGAGATCCAGATGATGGTGCCGCAGCAGTCATTGGGAAGGGCTTGCGGCCAGTGCCGCCGACCCTGACGAGGGACGACGACGACGACGACGACGACGACGACGATGACGACGACGACGACGACGACGACGACGACGACGACGACGACGACGACGACGGCGACGGCGACGGCGACGGCGACGGCGACGGCGACGGCGACGGCGACGGCGACGACGCTGACGCTCTGGAGCCCTTCTTGGGGCTCTCTTGGGAGCATCTTGGGCTCTGTTAGGGGGACTCTTGGGGTACTTGGGAAGCTCAGTTGTTCCTTGGAGCCGCCTCGGAGCGGATCTGAGGCCTCCTGGAGACATGTGGGAAAAGACACAGCACCTCGCAACCTCTTGGAGCGTCTTGGAGCTCCAAGAGGTTGCGGAATGTTCTTGGGCCCCTCTTGCGGCCCTCTTGGAGCCCTCTTGCGGCGTCTTGGAGGTTCCTTGGTCTTGGGCCGTCTTGAGGCGATCTTGGGCTGTCCTAGGGCCCTCTTGAAGCAAGGCGCGGTACAAGTGAGCTGGATGCGTCTGCGAGGCAAGATATCGAACAGGCAAACCTCTCACAGGGCGGGGTGCTCCTCCCGGTGGGGAGGGGGGGGAGGCACAAGCCCGCCCACCCGGGACCCCCCCCCCTCCCACCCTCCACCCCGCCCCCAGCAGGGGAGGAATGAGAGGGAAGGGGCTTCCCTTCGAGTGAGTACGACGCCGCTCGACTTCCTTCGGGCTGGAGCGCTTGAAGAGGACGGCCCAGCAAAAAAGGGCGGAGCGACGACGGCGACTACGAAGACAACGACGACGACGACGAGAACGGAAGAGCGTCAAGGGGAGACTGGTGACGACGAGGGCGACTCAAACGGAAAAGCTTCTCACACGCGCCGACAGGGTGGCCGGATTCGGTGATGGGGCTCGGGCAGGGGGCCGTTCGCGTCGAAGACGGTCTCCATCCTTGCTGTTGGGAGCTGCGGCGCGCCCTGCCCTCCGAGGTGCAGTGCTTCGACATGTCAAGCGAGGTCCTCCCCCATCCTCCTCCTCCTCCTCCTCCTCATCCTCCTCCTCCTCCTCCTCCTCCTCCTCCTCCTCCTCCGCCTCCTCCGCCTCCTCCGCCTCCTCCGCCGCCTCCTCACTTCGATCAGCACTCTGCGCAGTTCTCGCAGGAGCTCGGGAAAGGGCATACGGATGCGTTCACAGCCCGCAGGAGAAGCCGCAGGATGTGCTCGAGGAGCTCAGAGCTTGGCCGCTGCAGGAGGCCGCCGGCAAGGAGTCCATGGCCAGCAGAAGAAGTTCGAGTCGCAGCAAGATGTCCTGTTCAGTGAGGGGAGGGCTGACAAGTACTCCGACCTGCCCCACATCCCGAAGTCCCCCGACTTCGAGACAGAGCTCCCGAGCTAGGCGAACACGCAATTTCGGCAGGAAGTCAGGTAGATTGCGCAGCAGGGGATGCAGCGGGAGATGGAGCATGTCATGGAGAACATGACGCACGCCCTGTAGCTGATGCGGCAGAATGTGAAGCAGAATCTGGTGTTGCACGAGGACTCCATGCAGCGGCTCCAGCAAGAATTCGACAAGTACAGAGGCATCTTCATCTCCAGGATCGTGCGGGTCGAGTGCACGCTCGGCTACACGCATGCGCCTGACCGCAAGACAGATTGGGCGCGAGGGCGCGCCGCGAACAGATCGAGCGGCATGGGGAATTTCGTATATCCACAGCTAGGCCCCATGCCAGTATCTCGAGCGGACCTGCCTCGTCCCCGCGCTGGTCCTCCTCCGAGGTGCCACCGCTGCCCGATGACTCGTCGCTCCGACAAGGAGCCCCATGGGGGGAGGCTGCCAAGGGGGTCCTCTCCCTGCCGCTGCGCCTGGGAGAGGGCTCAAAGGGCACCGAGCTTTTTCTCGTGCAGCGATGGCTTCATGATCTACGCCTGCTCGATGTGCAAAGCTTACAAATGCGTGTTCGAGACCAGGTCAGGTCAGACCACGTCGATCTACGCCCGCTCGACCTGACAGACGAGACCAGATCAGAAATTTGAGACATTTGAGACACGACCAGACAGAATGAAGTTTCATGATCTACGCCTGATCTACGCCTGCTCGACCTGAGAAATGCGTGCTCGGAGGTCCTCGTCCTAGCCCCGTCCGATCGCCTCCGCGCGGCGCGCACCGCGGTGGTGCGGCGCGCGCGCGGGCCCTTCGCGAGGCCGCGAGGCCGCGCGAGAGGCGCGGCGACCTCACGCGCCCCCCGAGGACGAGGAGGACGATCGAGGAGGACGAGCGAGGAGGACGAGCGAGGAGGACGATCGAGGAGGACGATCGAGGAGGACAAGCGAGGAGGACGATCGAGGAGCCAGGATCGACGAGGGTCGGGGATCGAGGAGGCGAGGATCGAGGGGAAGGAAGACGACCAAAATTGCGGCGAGCGAGGAGGACGATCGAGGAGCCAGGATCGACGAGGGTCGAGGATCGAGGAGGCGAGGATCGAGGGGAAGGAAGACGACCAAAATTACGACGAGCGAGGAATTCGAGAAACGCGTGTTCGACGAGGCGAGGATCGAGGAGGCGAGGATCGAGAGGAGGAAGACAACCATAAAATGCGAGGATATCGAGAACAATTTGAGAGAAGTGCGTGTTCGAGGGTCCCTGCCTCCAGGTGCTCGGTGCTGCGCCTGGGGGCAGGAGCTCCTCCCGTGCGCTCGGGAGCGTAGGTCGAAGCCCCTCGCTCTGAGGACGACGGAGCGTCCCTGGTGCCGCCCGACGCAGGCCCTGACGGGGAGTCCTCAGACTAGCCTTAAATCGGGCCCGTCCCTCTACAGGAGGAGTATTCAAAAATTGTCAAAAAAATAGTCAGGGGATTATTGTTTGAAGATGTTTGACCATTTTCGAATATTGTTCGAGTATTTTTAGTTGTTCGTCGAGGATCCCCCTGTATGTGGGGACACGCCCGACTTAAGACTAGCCTGCTGCCACCTTCCCACTGGAGCGGTGCGTTTCGCGTGCTCCTGTGGGTCTACGATGCTGCTAGGGAGCGGGTTCTCTTTGCGTTCTCTCCTGGCACGTTTCGCTTCTGAGGTGCCCCGATCCCGCGAAGCAGCTTCTGGCACCGCAGCGGCAGGAGCCCTTCGCAGTTGCGCACCCACCTCAGCCTCCTTTTGCCAGCTCGATGGTGGACAAGTAGAGGCCTGCTGCCAGTGGCAGTAGTGGCGCCCAGAAAGAATCCTGCGCGAGGGTGGTGAGTGATGGGGAGGGCGGAAGACGGGAAGGGGAGGCGGAGGGGGCTCGAGGGGGAGATCCTCCCAATCCCCGCCACAGTCACCACCATTATTCTTCATCCTCCTGCTCCCCCCTGCCCCAGCGGAAAAAGGGGACAGGAGAACCCCGCACACCTCCACGGCAGCCGTGCCCAAGAAAGAGGGTCCGGCCTGCGGCAGCCCGGGAGGGAGAGGAGAGACCAGGGCGCCAAGGCTGGCGCCGGGCGCAGGGTGTTGCGAAGGGGCTTCGGGCACCCGCGCGGTGAGCGTGGCGCGCCTGCTGCGCCACGTCCTCCTCCCTTGTCGAGCACAGCTGCAAGGCTGCACGACGCACGAGTTCGCGCTCGGCGCCGCCAGGGATCGCCGATCCGAGGAATCCGCGCGGACCTCCTACGGAAGTGTACCTTTGTGCTGTACCGTCTTTTCCTGCTGCTGTCAAGTCCCTCGCCGTGGGCCCCACAACATGTGCTATGAAGCGTCGTTGTACTTTGTGTTTTTTTCCGCTGAGACAGGCGGGGGAGTTGGGCGCAGCAAGAAGATGACCCCGTGGAACCGGTGATCGGGGCAAGCGAAGATTGTTCGTCCGCCGCCCCGCCTGTCGGCCGCTCGTGCGCTCCTTCCCGAGACCGACCTGCGCGGTCGATGGTGGCGGCAGCAGGAGAGAATTGGGGGGAGGGAGGCGGAGTGTGCAGTCCGCTGCCGGTGCTCGCCAACACCCCCCTCGTCGCGCTCCAACTTCCTCCCACTTCTGCTGCGGATGCTCCTCTTCCTTCTCCTCCTCCTCCTCCTCCTCCCTACTCCTCCTCCTCCTCCCTCCTCCTCCCTCCTCCTCCTCCTCCTCCTCCTCCTCCTCCTCCTCCTCCTCCTCCTCCTCCTCCTCCTCCTCCTCCTCCTCCCTCCTCATCCCTCCTCCTACTCGTCATGCTCTTCCTGCTCCCTGCCCCTCCGCGTCCGAGAACAGGTGGCGACCCTGCAGGCACCTCGCCCGAGAGGGCCGGGGCTCGCACGAGGGCGCCGATAAAGTAGCGGAGGGCATCATCTCATCATGTTTGGGTGGGGGTGAGAGGGTGCGTCTCCTCCTCCTCCTCCTCCGCTCCTCCTCCTCCTCCTCTCCTCCTCCTCCTCCTCCTCCTCCTCCTCCTCCCTCCTCCTCCTCCTCCTCCTCCTCCTCCTCCTCCTCCTCCTCCTCCTCCTCCTCCTCCTCCTCCTCCTCCTCCTCCTCCTCCTCCCCTGCTTATTCACTCGCCGCAACATGTTGTAGGTTTTGTGTTTCACCTCGGCTTGGCTGCCTGCACCGTTGATGGCTCTGTCTCTGTATCATCCTTGCCCCCATCCTTCTTGACTGCGAGAAAGGTCTGCCCACGTGTCTTCCAGTCCGCTGGGGGTCCTCTTGCTTGGGGGGTCGAGGCGTGCCTTTTCGCGCTGACTGGTTGAATGTGAGGACGAGTGTGGAGCCGCAGTGGATGAAGGTCGCGCCGCAGGTGAAGAAGCAGGAGGAGGAAGAGCAGGAGGACGAGGAACACAAGAAGAGGAAGGAGACGGAGGAGGATGCTTTGCTCTAGCCTTATACCCCTCTTGCCACATCCTTATTCCTTATTAGAATATACTCTTACTCCCCCCTCTGTCCGGCCGATAGCAACCGCATCCGGGGGGTCCCATCCTGATTGTAAAAAATCAACAAGAAGTCCCCGTCGTTCCTCTCAGCATGGCCTATCTTGTCGTCGACGATGCGAAATGCGTGGCAGGAATGGGACGCGGCGCACATCGCGCGCGAACATCAATCTGGGCCCTCCCATCATGCTTGAAACAAAATACAAAGTTTCCGTGTTTCCTCTCAACATGGCCTGTTTTGTCGTCGACGATGCGACATGCGTAGCAGGAATGGGACGCGGTGCACATCGCGCGCAGACGTCTGAGGCAACCCCAAGCGGGAGGGGCCTTCCTACCTGTCAAAAACCATACAAAGTCGACATGTTTCTTCTCAGCGGGGACTTTCTTGTCGTCGGCTTTGCGAAATGCGTGGCAGGAACGGGGCGCGGTGCACATCGCGCGCGACAGGGCGAAATGTCGCTCTCGTTTCGGCGCCGCGCGCATGTTTTCTGAAAGTTGCGCTCCCGCTAAGGCGCGGCGCACATTTCGCTCGCCAATTCGTCGAGCGCCTAGGGCCCCCTGGGGCCTCCCAGGGTCTCCTGGAACATCCTGGGGTTTCCCGGGGCTTCCCCAGGGCCTCGTGGATCCTCCTGGTGCCTCCTGAGGCATCCTGGGGGCTCCTGGGGTTCCCCGGGGCTTCCTGGAGCCTCTTGGAACCTCCTGGGGCTTCCTGGGCCCTCCTGAAGCCTCCTGGGGCTTCCTGGGGTTCGCTGGGGCTTCCTGCAACCTCCTGGGGCCTCCTGACGCCTCCTGGGGCCTCCTGAGGCTTCCTGGGACCTCCTCGGCTCGTGCTGAAATCCCAGCGCAGTCTTTGAGACGCGCCAGGAATTTCCCATCGTTAACCGCCATCGCGGCTGCATCAGCTGTGGCACACATTGCCGATCTGATTTCGGTCCCCAGTTGCGCCAGCACTGTTTCTTGTGTTGTGGGGGGGCGGGTGGGAATGGGCTTGCCATGCTTGATTCGCTCGAGCTGGCTAGCTTGACCCCTCCTCGCACGCCTCCTCCGTATCCCCTTTCTCATCCTCCCCCGCTTCCCCTTTCTCTTCACCCCCATGTCCCTCCTCATTCTCCCCCCCCACACTTGTTCCACTTCCTGCTTCAGCTCCCTTTACAGCTCACCCCCCCTATCCTGCTCATCCTCCATTCTTCTTCTCGCCATCCTCCACGTCGTCACTGTCCACGTCAACCCCGTGGTCCACCTCTTCCTGATTCTACCCATCCCGCCTCCCTCGTCGCGCATTCGACATCCCTCACCACCTCATCCGACCTCCTCCTTCTCGCCCGCATTGTCCTGATCCTTATATCCTACTCGTGTACCTCTTCCTCCTCCTCCGCCATCCTTGTTCCTCATACCTAACTTCTCCCTGTCGCACCCCCAGACGTGTCGGTAGGGTGGGCCAGGTTTTTCGCTTGAGATTGCCTCACCATTCGTGATTTTGGAGTTTGGTATCTGCGACAACTAAAAGGATGGAGGGCCGTTTCCAAACTGTGGCTCTCGCGTTAGCGCCGCGCGCATTCGTTGTGAAGTTTTGCAACAGCTTCAAGGATGGAGAGGGGCCGTTTTCAAACTGTGGTTTTTCTTTTCGTGACGCGCACATTCGTCTTCAAGGCTTGCAATATGCTCAAAGATGGATGGGGGTCGCTCTTTAATGTGGATCCCTCCCATTCGCCGCGCACGGTCGTCTTTAAAGTCTGGAAACTTCAAAGATGGAGAGGGGTCACTTTCAAAACGAAGCTCTCGCCTCAGCGCCGCGCGCATTCGTTTCAAACGGTTGCAACTGTTGCAATGATGGAGGGTGGTTCCGTTTCAAACCGTGGCTCTTGCTTTAGCGCCGCGCAGATTCGCTTTTGAAGAATTGCGAGGGAGGTGGATGTCCCGAATGTGGCTCTCACCTTTGCGCCAAGAATCAGTGCTTTAAATTGTTGTAGCAGCTACAGGGATTGGGGGGAGAGGTCCTTTTCGAGATTGGGTTTTCGCTGGAGCTGTCTTCAATCCCAAAGACCAGCACGAGCGGGTGCAACAGCTGCTCGGATACAGGGCGGCTCCTTTGAAGCACTGGGCGTTCTGCTGAGGCTTCTTTAAATGTCGAGACCCGAAGCTGGAACATATGGCACAGCTGCACGGATGGATGCGGGGCTGCGCTTTTTCAAGAGGGGACGTTCGCCTGAGGTGTCCTCGACGCGCACGGCCAGTAGTGACAAAGTGTGCAAGGGGCGGTCATCTGTCAGAATGGTCATGTCGCTCGACACCTCGTTGAACTGCATGATCCTGTTCTCAAGCGCTCCTTATTTCTTGCTGGCAGGATCCGAGGTACTTCGCTCTTCTTCGAACAGGGGCTCTCGCCTAAATGGCAGGC